CCTGGTGGGAGCCTGGCGAAGGCGTGGGTGTCGGCTGAAACGGCTGCTTCGGAGGTGGGGACCTGGAGGGAAACGAAGCCGGGATACCCCCCCTCCCCCCCCCCCCCGCGTTTTGGGGCTGTAAGGGAGAAAGGAAGAGGGTTTTCACCCTCTCCGCCTTCGGCAACCATCCAACACGCCCCCCAAGGTCGGCGGATAGGCTTTGAGATTTCGAGCTTAGCATCATTAGAGTTTATTGGATGAGGGAGTATACGGTTCGGTTTGCATGTGGAGAAGTGGAAGGGTTGGCTAAAATCCTGGCCTACGGATCAGGATGCGCGTAGGTGTATGGGAACATGGCTTGTGTCAGCAAGTTGTTTGCGGGCTGCATCAAAATCAAGAGGGGCCAAGAGCTCTGGGGCCCATTCAAACATTGAAGAGCTCAAGCGCTCTCTGGTGCTGAGGCTTCCTACCCAAGTCGTAATTGAAACATCCCTGTGTGTAGCGTGAAGCGGGTCCGTCTCAAAGATCTTTCAAGTTTCCTGTAAGTACAGTCGTTGTTCTTTTCTTGTGTGGACGGGGTCATTGTTGGAACAGCTGCTTTAAGCTTACTCTCTCAGTTACCCCGAAAAGGAGCCAGTAAAGACAAAAAAGTGATATTATCGGTTCTGTGATCTTTCTGGGAAGCTCAGGGCTGCAAAGCTTTTCCAGTCCGATCCCTATGGCTGCCACTCACCTGACTTGGTGGAGAAGAGGCGGTCGAGAAACCCGCAGCCAGAATCAATTAAGTGACCAGAGCCTTTTGTAGTTCTTGCGGGGCTTTGTTGCAAAACTCTTGCTTGGTTTCAGAATGAATTCGGTGATGCAGTTGTTCAGTGTAAAGCAAGCCTTTAATTTCCATGAGAGGAGTTAGTGGGACTGTCAGACTGAAATGAACTCTCTGGCGCCTTTTGGGAGGTAGCTGTTGAGCTCCCTGCGCTGCCCAGGTTTCAGCGGACCACACCTTACCTTCTGTCATGAAACGTGGCCTTAGAAGCAGCTGTTTTGGCTGTTTGGGGTATATGTGCCAGGGCCCAGTGAGCAGATTCAGTGCATAAGTCCCAAACGATTTCCTGCAAGATTACTGGGATGTATCCTTAGAATCTGGGTTACATGTGGCCCGCTAAAATTGAATGTGGAACCCACAACCCTACACGCATGATGCCTCCAACCTCGGTCTTGGTCGCCAAGGCCCGGAAATGCAGCCACTCTTAGAGTGGTGTGGGCCTGACATCTATGCTGGAGCTCTACCCTGGAGCTCAGGCGCACAAACCGAAGTTATTGCCTCAGGGCGAAAAAGGACCGTGGCTGTATCTGGTTAAGCTTCAGGGTTCAGGGCGCTCGTGCAAACTTGGCCTGGGTCAACTAGAGCATGCCTAAAAGATAACAAGAGTGGCCCACATCTGATGTCTTCCGGATGTTGGGTGTGGCTGAAATGATGATCTATTCAAGCTGGCTTTGGCAAAGCCACCACTTACAAGAATCCTACCTTCGAAAGATGTTACACGCTGTTACGCCCCTGTCTGCGAGTCAACATGGTGAACACGTGAAGCCATCAAATCAATCATCCCCATGTGTGCGCCAGGGTGCAAGTACATGAGCATCATACATGGGACGTTGTCCCCTGTATGATGCCACGATGTAGCTTAGCCTCGCCGGTTCGGGCAAGCACAAACAGCAAGCTTTGTTCTGTTTGTACCGAATCTGGCAGTTGGAACGTTGCATATCACAGCTCGTAGAGCGTCGGAGGCTCAAAGCAGTCAAAGCAGTCAAGAGCACTGAGTCCTCCGCACCACCCTGTTATTTATGAACATTGAGACGCTCCTGCTGCTTCTGATCCACTTCCTTTTGTGTCATGTAGAGACAGGGCATGTCCAGCCCACGGATTCGCTGGCAGAGAAGTTGGGCGAGTCGAAGTCCACAGCAGAGTTGCTTCAAAAGCTCCGCGGAGCTGCCGATGGCGGCGGGAAGCTGCGGCAGGAAGCCCAAGACGCTGAGGGAGAGCGCAGAGACGAGCTTGAAGCAGCGGCTAAACGCGCCGCCGAGGACGTGCGCCACGACGTGGAAGGACTGCTGAACGTGCAGGAGATCCGGACTTCAAAGACCAATGCGACCGAGAGGCTCTGTCAGTTGATTACCTTTCCCCAGCGCTTGCTCAGCGCCGTGGGGTTTAGTGTGGCTTATCAAGCATGGTTTGGCAGCTTCAGTATCGATCATGGTATCAACTATACGGACTTCTTCAACACTCTATCAGGCTTCTTTGAAAACGACACTGAAGTTGTAGTGCCGGCAGGTGTTGGCACCTATCGTGGCCTTCAGGACGCATCTGAGTACCTCATCATTGCTCTTCAGGCGGCAAACATGGGCTTCTGGCGCACAGGTCCAGAAATTCTTGATGCTAGTCTGATACCAAATGTCAGATATGACGGCAACGTTATCCAACTCTCAGGAACCGTCACAACTTCTTTTTTCAATGGCGAGTTTGACGTGGACCTGGTGTATGATCTACGGGTTTCGTTTAAGCCCTGCGCCATTTTTATTTCAAAGTATGAAGTACTCTACTCTGATTCGTTTGGCGACATTATCGCTGCCTTCGTCAACACAGTCCGGAACAGCAAGTATCAAGGCCTTTATGACATGTGCATGTACCATGAAAAGTACTGTGTTGGTGAGGACAGACAGTATGACAACTTTACAAGCTGCCTTGAGTACATGCAGAGTTTGCCTTTGATTTCGGATGAGTGTGGCGACAGCCTCCCTCTCGCAGGAAACTCGCAAAGTTGCAGCTTGACCTTTTTTTGAAGCTGTTCCTATAGTCTTTTAATAATACGCCCACAGATTAGCTTCTTTGCTTGCTGGCTACGGATCCAACAGCCGTACAGGCAAGTTCAAGCACAAATTCATGTCGGCTTTTGCGCCAATACACTGTGCCCACATTGGTCCCCTCTTCAACCTGAGCGGGAATCCAAACTTGGATCATGATGGAAAATGGGTCTGCAGCGACACGACAGAGTGCGCAGAACAGTGTAACATGTCTGTTCCTCTTCCAGACGCCTCGCCTGAGTTTCTGGGTTGTTATTTAGGAATTTAGTTTAAGTTCCCATAGTGGGGAGATATAGTAGTAACTAAGTGAGAAGGATTGTTATAGCAAGTTAGATTGAATCAGATTCCTTAATGGCAACTTAGGTTTCTCGAAGCATTGAGAATTTACGAAGCCTGGGTGGAGGCGAACTACAACGTGAATGGCTTGGTGCAAGGCTACAAGTTCCCTGCGCAGACAGACTACCAAAGTCCACCTTTTCAGTTGCCTACTGGCATTTCAGCGGGAGTGGGAAAGAATCACTCTAATCATCGAATCCCCGTTGATTTCGCTATCATCCGTGCACAACCTATATAACCCCTTTAGCAGAGTCCGGAAGCTGCACGTATCAGATCAGATGCGGCGCGTAACGGTGTCGGGCAACGGATCAGCCAGCTGGATCAGCTTGAGACACGTAACGCATCAGTATCCTAGCACCGAACACGATCAGGCCGAAACACGTAATGGCTCAGGATGTCGGATCAGCTCGACCATCACCGAATCTAAGCTTCCGGCGGTCATTCAGATCTTTTGATCTCTTTCGTTGGATTCTGGGGACGCTCCGCGCGGGAGTGCAGATCGGAGGACGCGCCACGTGGGAATGCCGTCGGGCGATCGGATTCTGAGGACGCTCCACACGGGCGCGCCGTCGGAGGGCCGGATTCTCAGGAAGCACCGTCTGGAGGTGGGACTCTGAGGACCTTCCACGCGAACAACGGATTCTGAGATGGCGGGTAGGCTTCATACAGCTTGGGGCTTAGGATGGCTTGCGGGCTTGACCTTCGGGGGTCTTTTGGGTTAGCTTGGGAGTCGTTAGGGTTGAGGGTTTCGAGGACCTGTGGGAAACATGAGCGGTTTAGGGTTTTGGGGATCTTTCGGGCTCAGGGTCTACGAGTCCCTAAGGGTGTTTAAAGTGTTTAAAGTTTAGGGCTTTAGGGTTGTTAGGGTTTTAGGCTTTTGGGTTTTGAGGGCTTGGGGTTTGTAAGGTTTAGGCCATTTCAGGGTTTAGGGTTTCTAGGGCTTTTGAGTTGTCAAGGTTTAGGGTCTAGAGTTGTTTGGGTTTGGGGCTTTACGGGGGGTTTTATGTCGTGGTTCTCTTTGGGTTTAGGGTATGTAGGATTTTGAGGGTCTAGTGTTTTAGGGTTTCGGTTTTTTGGGTTTAACGTTGTAAAAAAGTTGTTAGGGTCTAGGGTTTCTAGGGCTTCTGGGTTTTGAGGATTTTCATGGTTTGGGGTTTCACGGTTTAGGATTTGTAGGATCTAGGACTGTTAGGGTCTATAGGGTTTTAGAGCATGTTTGGAATTCAGATTTTTTAGGGTTTGTGTCTTCAGGGTTCCGGGCTTCGGGGTTTAGGGTGTTCCGGTTTCAGGGAGTTTAGGGTTCAGATGTTCAGGGGCGGTTGGGGTTCAAAGTTTGTAGGGTTCAGGGTGATCAGGGTTTCGGGTCTCTAGTTTTTAAAGGTTTCGTAGGGTTTTGGGCTTTAAGGGATGAAGGTTGTTCGGGTTTACGGTCTTACGTAAGTGTTTTTACTTTTCTTAGGGTTTAGGGGATGCATTATTTGATATGATCCTGGTCATGTTGAAAAAAAAAGCGGGGGGTTTGGGAGCACGGCCCCCCTCACTTGCAAACCATTTAGGACTTTGGAACTTGTGGACGAGGATTCACTATTCGATATGAGACGGGTTCATGAACAGAAAGAGCGGAGGGGTTGGGGGGAGGTTGCAGTTGTTGATGAGGATTCATTATTCGACGTGACGCAGGGGCTTGGGGCGGGCGCAGCTCCCCCAATAATTGTTAGGGTTCAAGGTTTTGGGCCGTTTGGGGCTCCAGGGTGTTTAGGGTTTGGGGGCTTGGTTCAGGTTTAGAATTTGGCCATTGGGGGATTTTAGGGTTTAACTGTCATCGTTTTGACGCCTCAAAACCGCCATCCTCGTAACTGTCCTCAGGCTTTGATGCCTCAAAGCTGCCATCCTGGCAAATATCGTAAATATCGTAACTGTCCTCAGTTTTTGCCGCCTCAAAGACGCCATACTCGTAAGCGTCGTCACATTTAGCCCCTCGTGCTTCGTCACGCCTCGAAAGTGTCAACAGTCACGGGGGATGGGGGTGGTGGTTGTATGTCTACTCGATCCTATTTCCTGATCCGATTGGGCCTTGGCCTGCTCCGATTCATGCATCAAGGTGATCCGATACAACCCCCCATCGATCCGTTACGCCGTCTCCGCTTGATCCAGTACGGCCCGATCCGTTACATGTGAGCCGGTTCGTGGGTTTACCCAGCAAGCTAGCTCTCACACAACCAGTCTGCAAGCATGCGCAACAACATGTGATCGGTTCTTATGTTGTGCCAAGAAGTCGGTCAACTAGAGAGGCTATGTTGAGGCCGTTCTTCCCGCCTTAAGTGAAACTTCACCGCGGAGGCCAGGAAGAAGCGGCAGATGGTCTTCCCGCCGCGTTTTAAATATCCCTGGTGATGAACAGGAAGGATCCTTTCAACATGCATTCTGTGGATTGTGATACACATTGGAGGCACAGCTGCAGCTCATGTTCGAAGAGCCCCTCCACCGGCAAGGGCTGTCTGCCTTTCCTGTACTGCAATGCGTACTGATACACGCCAGAAGCTGTTCGATAGTAGCATATGAAAGTCCCCTTGATTTCTGGTCAAGGTTAAGCAAGCGGCATTGTTAAGTATGCTGGGATAGAATTCAGCGGTTGGGGCCTGCATCTTGATCCTTCATGGTGTCCAGTGCTTTAGTCTATAGGCCTAGGGCTCTTGTCATTGAAATCACTTAATAGGCTCCTTCCTGAATCTTTACACGTTATCCTGCTGATGAAGTTAGTCAAGAGTTGTCTGACAATGCCGAATCAGCATTGGAGCGTCCCGATTTGGCCTTAGGGAGAGTTTGAGGCTGGACGAAGATGGCTCTGGCGAGGTCACGCTTGACGAAATCATGGCAGCACCGCAGGTGCCTTGGAAAAGCAGAGCAGAAGCTCCTAACCTCACAACCTTAACAGGTGCATCCGGAAGCTATGAGATGTTTTTCTACAAGGGCTGAGAAGGATACAGCTTGCACCGCATGACTAGAAAGGCCGAGCAAGAGGCTTTGTTCAATTGCGTGCCAACCCGCCTATCACTCAAGAAGCGCAGGCACAATTTAGATACCATAAATACGTACATACCTGTAGATATGCAGAAATACGCGTACCCTAGGCATGCTAGGCTGGACCTGAGTCCAGAGCAGTATAACATTACATGTGCCAGGCAGCTTTATTCCACTCTTGCATTGCTGCGTGAGAAGTCGCCCAGCTCACAGATGATTAAGGATGTTAAGCAGAGCCTCTTTGAAATTGCGGGCACAGAAGACATCCAGACACTCTTTGCCTCTTGGCAACTCGAATCAGCAGAAGTTTGTGCAGGACATGGACTTCGTGTGAACAAATCCTATCTCGGCCATCATAGGTGCAAGATTCAGGCGCAGGCGCACTAGCAACCTCCGCATCAGCAGCGACGGCAGCGGTGCGAGAATGGATTCGACAATGTGGCCTGCAGTCATAGTAACAACCACAGGCACCGTCGCCAATGCCTGCACTGCCGCCCCCCAGGTCAATTCGGATGATGTCTAGAGAGCAGCCTCAAGAAGCCTGTAAACAATAGGGACAACAACGACAACACCGCCGCCGCCACCGCCCCAACCGCCCCCACCGCCCCCCCCGCCGCCGCCGCCGCCGCCGCCACCACCACCACCACCACCACCACAACCACAACCACAACCAAAACCACAACGACAACACAAACAACCAAAACCACCACCGTCGGCACGGCTGCCGCCGCCGGCACGACGACGACGACGACGACGACCACCACCACCACCACCACCACCACCACCAACAACAACAACAACACAAACAACAAAACTGCATGTACATCACCTCAAACCAAGGTAGCATCAAATACCGCTGAACCTTTTGCTGGGGCGACCTTCAACCTGGGCGGGTATGGGGAGACAAACAGTTGGTGCAATAAGAAGCTCGCGGCTTTGCTGGCATGATCTCGCATGCTGTGTTTGCACACTGCCTTGCAGCCACTTCTTGACCTCTGACAGCACGCTCGGAACATGAACATTCCATTACGACGCAGCAGGGAAGAAAGCACTCCTTCATCTAGGTCTTTTGCTCAGGCGCGCCTGCCTGCCTGGTCAGACTCACATTGGTCACCGGTCAAAGTGAAGGAGTCATCGCCTCCATTCCACCCTCGAGACAATGGGAAGACAACGAAGTCGCAGGATGAGGAGAATGAGGAGAAGAATAAAAAGGTGAGCGGCAGCAACAGAAGGCAAAGCAGGCCGATCTTGTTGTAAGAAATTCTCCCTGTTCCTTAAGGAAATGCTTGACTTCGACGGCGGGGGTTCCTTGGAGACTGATGAGTTCTGCCAAGGCGCTTGCTGAGTCCGTGGCTATCTGAGCTTCATGCCATGGTTCACCAACAGGCGGATATCCTAAGTTCCGTCCAGGAGTCTTCAAAGCGAGCAGTTCTACGAAGCCCTTGGAGCTTGACCGGTTGATGAAGCAATGCCGTTATCTGGGCGCACTGAGCAAAATCTCATTCTGGTCTTCCGAGGTTGGAGAGTTTTTAATCCGGGGCTGAACGACTGCTTGGCACGCATGTTGGTGGTGTTTAAGGTTTAAAGGCCTCCGTTTGTATATGTGGAGAGGCGCTGACTGATGAGGGTTGTTGCACATGGCGTTGTGGGAGGTTGTTTCCAGTTGAGGCTTTGTTTTGAGAACGGCGCACTTGGTTCTTGAGCACAATCACAAAAAGCAATATCCGCGGCAGACTACGTACTCCAAAGGTCTGACTGCACAAGTTAGCGTTTTCAAGGAGCTGTTGATGGGTCCTCTGTACGTGTGGGTTTCGATGGAGTGAAGAATCTTCGCGGCCAATTCAAGCCAGGGCCGGTGGCAGCTGTGGTTGGGCCTTGCAAAGGTTGGATTTGGAGCATGGCATGAGGGTTGATCTAATCGTTCTTCTGCATGTAAACAAGCCCGTCCTTAACTTGAACTGGCATGGGATGTCACAGAATGAGTGTTTTCACGGTGCTGAAGTTAGATTCAGCATGATTGAGTCTTTGATAGAGATCTGTGAATCAAGTGCAGACAGAACTCTTTAGGCCTAAGCCCGAACTCTGACCGCCAAGGAGACATTCTGATGAACAGCCGGAAGGCA